CCTTTTGGTACCAATAGTCAAGAAATAAAGGAGACACATTACATTGGGAAAATCTGAAGTTTGAGACCTTTCCAAAATACTAAGATGTAATGATGTCAGTTTGAGGAACAAGGTGTGCCTGATTCAGGTTGTGGTCTTTCTGAGCACTTGTTAGGCATCTGAGAGCTGGACAATGAATAAAGATGCCATAAGAAGAACTGATACCTTTGGGCTCTGGTGTTGGAGAAGAGCACTGATCCTATGAACTTCAAGAACAAATAAACATGTCTTGGCGAGGGTGAAGCTGGAGTGATCTTTGGAAACAAAATTGATGAGGCTTCACCTCTCATACTTTGGACATGTTGTTGAAAGGTACTGTTCCTTAGAGAGGGACATAATGCTGGTAAGGGTAGAAGGTCAGTGAAAGAGAGGAAGTCCCTTGACCATTGCATTGGGCTCTGGTGTGTTAGGATGGCACAAAATAGAACAGGGTTCAGATCTTTTGATCATGGGTCACTGTGAGTCGTACTGGACTCGCCAGCACCTAACAACAACAACAACAATGTCGCTAGGAAACTCTATTCAGTAAAGAAAGACATCACGGTTAGAAATGTGGAATGTCAATTTAAGAGCAGAAGACCCTCAACGAGATGGATTGACACAGAAACTTGCAATGATGAGTTCAGATGTATCAGAGATGATAAGTATAGTACAGAACGAAACAAGAGTCAGATCTGTTGTGTGTGTGTGTATGTGTGTGTATATATATAGTGTGTGTGTATATGTGTGTATGTATGTACACACACACACACCCACACACACACATAAATAGATAGTGGTGTACCCTGTGTACATTAGCTTTGAAAGCTGCCCTAACCTGAGCCAGTCTCATCATTTCTGACAGACGTCTCCCATTTCTCCAGTCACTGAGTCAGTCCAACTCATCCTGGCTCCTCCTTTCTTGTGCTATGCCTCCATACTTCCAAGTATGATGTCCCTCTCCAAGGAGTGGTCCCTATTGGCCACTTGTCCAAAGAACATAAGACTAAGCTTCAAAATCCTTGCTTCTAGGGAGCAGCTTGGTTTCACCCTCTCCAGGGAAAACCTGTTTGTTCTCTTGGCAGCCCACAGTATGTTCAACACTTTTCTCCAGCACCACAACTAAAAGGCATTGATCTTTCTTCTGTCATCCTTAATTATTGCCCAGCTTTCACATGCATGGCAAGTAATTGTGAAGACCATGGCCTGCATCAGGTGCACTGTAGTCTCCAGACTGACATAATTGCTCTTCAGTACTCTAGAGAGGTCCTTGACAGCAGACTTTCCTTCCCAATGCAATTAATCCTTTGATTTCCTGACTGGTGGTGCCAGGAATGTTAACTGTGGAGCCAATATAGTATTGCATATTTATATATGCATACATACGTCCATACATATGCACATACATATATAAAATACATACATGTTTGTGTGTACAATTGAAGACAAGGAGGACTACATATTCTTTTAAGATAATACGACTGCTGAAGGAAAAACTCCATTTAATATTCCAAACCCAGATTTTAAAAAAGAAAATACTTTTTTTTCCCAAGCATACAGCTTCTAAATAAATTTTTCAGTGCAACTAATGTTAAAGAAATTTCTTTAAGTAGACCGAAAAAGTGTTGCAATTGGTAGCCATATACCTAATATATAATATTTTTTGTATGATTTAGTTATTTTTAAATCCAATTGTCTGTTTAAGCAAAAAGTAATGCCAATGCAGTGGAAGATTTAAAATTTGCAGAGTAAAGTACATGATAACAATAGCATAAATATAACAATGATTGTATGAAAGGAGAAAATGGAAATACACAATTTTGGGGATTTTTCAGAATTATGTGTTATAAGGTGTAATTATCACTTGAATGGAGATTGTAATATGTTAAAGATGTATATGCTAAACTCTCAAACTACTTTTAAATAATAAAACAAGGTTGTCATTGTTGTGCGCCAATTTGTCAGAACTGACTCATAGCTCTCCAGTGGACTTTTCAGAGGCTGCAAATAGCACAGGAAATGATTGCCCATCCTTCTGTCAGGGAGTAAGAGGTGGGTTCAGACGACATGCCTTTGGGATTGTAGTGCAGTGTCTTACCACTAGGGCATTGGAGCTCCATAGTAAATTAAAGATGTATACATTAAACTCTCAATCTACTATTTCAATAACAAAATAATAAGGTATGTCTAATAAGACAACAAAAGAAAAGATAAAATAGATTCATAAAATTTACGTATTTGGTTTAAAAATAACATGAAGAGAAAAATTGGAACTCAAAACAGATGAGAGTAAATAGCAAATTTTTAGATGTAAACAAGGAATCAATGATCACATAAAATATTAAATATCTAAATCAATTATAAGGCAGAGATTCTCACATTGTATAGTTTAAATTAAAGGCGTATTTACTATAAAAGGGCCCAAATATGCCTAAAACACTCACTTTAAATATAAAAACACAAATAGGTGTAAAAGAAAATTAATGAAATGAAATATATGTAGCTATCCATTAGCACACCCAGACAAATAGGGAATATTGTGATAGATGGAGAAAATATTGATATTGTCAATAGATATTATTCTACAGTTACTGAAATAATTTTAAAATAGTGTAAGACTCTAATCAAGTAGTTTTAGGATAAATAGCTTAGAGCCAGGGAGGAAATTAATAAATTGTAGAAGATTTTAAAATAATTTTCTCTCAGGCATTGCTAACTATAGTAATTAAAAACCTGGTGAGAATAAAGACGACTCAACTCATGATTGACAAGCAAAATTTTATGGTCAGAAATCAACATGAATTTACCTTCTTGTTAAATCCATGACATTTTTATTAAAAATATTAATATACTGTTTCTTGTTACATCCATGAAATTTTTATTAAAAATATTAATATACTGTTTATACCATCCACTTCCTAAAGAACATGCCTCTGGAAACTGTATGAACTTTGATAAATGACAACAGTTGTTGAAAAGCTTCAGGCCTTTTGTTCATAGGGTTGTAATGAGTAGTGCTCAACTGGACAGCAATCACCAGCAACATTCCATAATTTATTTTTTCAAATTTCAAATAATTGGCATTTTACACTATATCCTTCAACCTTATGCTATTAGATAAATTTCTAGTAAAATACTGTGTACTAATATGAATTAAATAAAATAGATGATACACCTCTGTAGTACACATTTTTCTTCCAATTTCAGTGTCTATAATTATAATGCAGTTAATTCAGTAAATACTGTTTGAAGTTAATAAAATGAAAGTGAGAATATCCAGATAATCAACCTTTTTCTTGACTTTGAGAATTTACAAGGTACCAGCTCATTAACCATTCTTTTCGTTTCTCCTCATCAACCAGTCTTCATGACCCCTCCAAAAGGAAATAGTAATAATAGTTTCACAGAATAGAACTGAGTTTAGAGCTCTTGTACATAGGGTCACTATGAGTGGCAGGCGACTCAATGGCACACAACAACAACAACAACAACAATAATAGTTTATCCAGTGGCACCACATGATAAGAAAAAGAGAGAGAGAGACAGAGAGAGATGTCTTCCTCTTAACCATTAAAAGGGAAAATCAGAACAGAAGAAAAAGCAAAATTTAAAAATTAAATTTCTAATAATCTCAGCAGTATTATAAAGCATTTCTTAAATAATTTCAGTATAGCTATTTCAGATACAGTATAGACTCTTATTGTTTTGGGGGAAGTATATATTTTTGATACCTGAGTTCAGTATGTAAAATGAGTTATCATGTAAGAAGACATCCAAAATAAACTATTTATTAGGAATAGCAGTGCTGTCCAAATTCTTCACACAGTGTGGATGGAAAAATGCATGAAACACAATGAGTATAAACAAAACGCAACGTATACAACTTTGTTTTTTAATACCTCTTTTGTATGCAAACCAATAAAATAAACAAAAAAAAGGTTTCCATTCTTGAGACATGTGGCAGAAAACACAAATTAGGATATTTTTATTTATATATGCAATATGTTTCAAAATTATTTATGAACCATAGTCTACTCTAGTCAACTCAATGCAATGCTATTTTTGCCATAGCAAAATAAACCTGTTAAAATTTGTTGTTACATTTATTTATAAGGGAAAAGAACATATATCTGAAACTCCCAAATAGTAACATTTTTCTGTCTTGGGCTACTTTGTGGAACACATAGCAAAATTTTTAATTTAGATAAAGTAGTCTGTTTCAAGAGAGCTCTGATGGACTAGTGGGTAGATTGTGCTGCAGATCTAAAGGCAAGCAGTTCAAATCCACAAGCTGTTCCATAAGGAAAAGCTGCACAAATTTCCGTGACATTTACAGCTTGTGAAAACTCGCTGGAAGGTCAGTTATGAATTGGTTTTGATTCAACATAATTGAAAGCAAGAAAGGTTTAGCTTCATGAATGATCAATTTTTCATTAACAAATTATTTAGAGAAATAGCTCAACTAATAACAATCTGCATTGAGTGTACTTTATAAAAACTCTGTGTTCTATCTCTGTGGGTGAAAATGAAGTTTTCTATACATTCAATTTCTTAATGCAATGTTTAAAAAAGAAACATTGATACTTGGGGAAAAGCACATTCCTTATGTTTTAAAATTTACTTAGATCCAAGAATTTGTTCAAATGCATCTGAAATGACTTGTTTCTTTTCTAACAGATTTTATCAATGAACTTAAAATAATTTATATATACCTAGTAGTATTAGTTCAAGTTTAAAATCACTTACAAACTTTATCTTATACTTTTCAAGAATAATTTCTGTATAAAGAGTTCCCTCTTTACCAACATCTGTACCTCGTGGAATTTGTGTAATAAGTGTGGATGGCTTTCCTTCTAGCTATATTTTGACTTCATTTTCAAGTGTGTTATTAAAATCTTTTCTTCGTTTTTCAGGTTTGTGTGGATTTTGGTTCTTTATGACATACTCAGCAATTTTAATTTTTGCTGTTGTTTGCTTCATAGGATCAAAGAGAATAAGTGATAGTGAAGTCTCTGACTATGACTGTGATGATGGAATTGGTGTAGTCTCAGGTAAGAATATTCTATTTTATAAATTAAGTAGGCCACAATGAGAAAGAAATAACCCAGATTCCCATTCCCGGAAATGACTTTTAAATAGTATTAGGGTGATTTAACAAATACCTGAATAATTTTGGTTTCCTTAATATCTATGGAGTGCTCTGGTGGCATAATCCATAGAACGCTGTGCTGCAAACACATGTGTCTGTGTGGTGAATCCATAGGTTGTTCTGTGGGAGAAAGATGTTCTGTCTCCTGCTGTTGAGATTTACAGCCTCAAAAACCTAATGGAGGGTCATTATGAGTTGGAGTGAATTGACAGCTCTGAGTTTTGAGCATAATACATGTACCAATTATTAGAGTAAATGTTTGTATTGGAAGATGCTGGGGAAGAAATGAATTTAAAAATTTATATTTATTATGCTAGGGGACTCTGGTGGCTTAGTATTAAGATATTGTACTGCAATCTTGAAAACACACCATTTGAATCCACTATCTGTTCCATGGGAGAAGGATGGACAGTCTCCTCCTGTGTCATTAACAACCTCTGAAAACCCACTGGAGAGTCAGCTCTGGATCACTTCCAACTATGGAACTCAACAACTCAGCAACTATGGTGCTAGCCTAAATGTTGGATATTTTTAGCCTTATAGTTAACTCCCTCTGGTCTCTGGTCACCTTATCTGTAGGTATTTGGTCTTGTCAATCAGCATGGTCAACAACAGGCATGGGCTAGTATAAAAGAAAGAGTAATTCCCACACTGGGCAGCAAGACTTCAGGTGAGCAAGACTTGTGGTAAGACTTGAGGGAGACTGGAGCTAGACCCTGGTGAGAGCAAGGTCCTGGTGAGAGCAGGACCCTGATGGCAAGACCCTGGTGATGGTGGTGGAGAGACTGTAGCACTGCTGTGGAGAAACTGTGGCAAAGTGTAAGCAGAAAAGTCTTGAGACAAGGGTCACAGTTAAAGGCTTTTGTTGTTCTGGTTGGATGCTTGAAGGAGAAGGAAATTTACAACTGCTCTGAGGCAAACAAACCTTGCTGGATGATTTGGATTTGACTGCTGAACTAGAGCCAGAGCCTTGACTAAATTGAGGAATTCTGTCTTGGAACTTGGGCTAAAACCTCGATTTGTTTGGGGGTGATATTTTTTTTCTTCCCTCACTTGCAAACTTACTTTCCTAATAAACCCCATTTTCTTTGTCACAACCTTGATTTTGTGAGTCAACAATGAATAAATGAACCTCCTGCTGCCTGTGGGGCTCTGCATGTACCATAGGATTGTTCCAGGGGTTCTTTCCTGTGCTTTCTGCTCTGAGTTGATGTGGGCTATATTACTTTTCTCCCTCTCACTGGCCCTTCCAGAATGACACTCATGGTCTTGTGTTCTTCTGACCAGTCTTCTCTTTAGACAGCTGTCACTTGATAAAGATTTTACCATAAATCTGAAGTGTTCTTATATAAATGAAACTGTTGCATATGTCTTGAATGTTCTAAAAGTTTAAAAATACCATAAGTATTACCAACAATAGCCTACAGCTAGTATTAGCTGACACTGATATATTTCAGGGAGTAGTGTATGAGTAATAAAAAGCCAAGGGAAGAAATTCAAGTTGCTTTGAAGGCATTGGCAAGAAAGTAAGGCATCAGCTATTGATACGATACCAATTGACAGTTTCAACTAACAAATACAGTTTTGGATGTCCTTATCAGTGTGCTAAGAAATTTAGAGGACAGCTCTCTGGTCAACTGACTGGAAGAAAATCCATATTTATTCCCATTCCCAAAAAAGTGATTGATCAGAATCTGAAAATTATCAAACAATATCATTAATACCACGTGGAAGAAAAAGTATTGCTGAAGATCAAACAAAAATAGCTAGAACAACATTGCTGCAGAAAATATGATTACAGGCTTCAATATGGGTTCTAACTCAACATCAAGAACACGGAAGTCCTAACCACTATGTCAGTAAGCAACATACATAATAGATGAAGAGATTGAAATTCTCAACGATTTCATCTTACCTGGATCCATCATCAATACCTTTAGTACCTGCAGTTAGGAGATTGGGAGATGTATGACATGAGAAAAATTAGCTGTCAAGGACCTCTCCAGAATTCTGAAGTACAAGGATGTGTGTCAGTTTGAAGACTAAGGTGCACTTGATTCAAACCATGGTATTTCCAATCCTCTGCTATGTACGGGAAGATTTGACAGTGATTGACAGAAGAAGAATTGATATATTTGAGTTGTGGTGTTGGAGAAGAGTACTGAATATCCTGTGGACTTCAAAGAACAAATATGTCTTGGGGATGGTGCAGCCAGAGTGCTCCGTGGAGGCAGGATGGCAAAGCTTCCCCTCACGTACTTGGACATTTTTTGGGAGGGGCTATTACTTGGAAAGGAACTTTATGCTTGGAAAGGTGGAGGGTTAGCAAAGGAGAGGAAGACGTTTAACAAGATAGATTGCAGTAACTGTAGCAATGGGCTCACGTGTGTCAGAGATGATGATGATGGTTCAAGATAGTACAGAGTTCAGATCTGCTTTTCACAAGGTTGTTATAAGTCATACTTGACTCAATAACAAGCATTTAAGAATCACAGTAATACAATTTCATAAATGGACTCATTTATGCTTAGAAATTTATAAAATATTTCAATGTTTTAGATAATTAGCTACTTTTTCTATAAACCTTTAAAAATTTATACATACAGTTGTTTTGTTCTGTCACCTCAGAACCTACTCATGACTGATTTTTTGACAAGTGGCTGTAAATCACACAAGACAAGTTTTCCCTTTTTTCTTCTTTAGAGTGGCTAATCGATTTAAACTATCTGCTCTTGAAATAGTGGCACATCTCCTTACCACTAAGCTACCAGAGCGTCATATATATATAGCTTATTAAAGTAGAACTGGTACTAACTCATAGCAGACCCTCCCACAAGTTTTTAGAGGCAGTAAATTCACAGAGGGAGATTGTCCATCTTTCCATTGAGGAGCATCTAATGGGTTCCAGAGAGGCATTGCCTCAGATTAGCAACATAACTTGATGTGCTCTGTGCCACTAGAGCTACCTATACAGACACACATATATAATGAATCTTTAATATTATAAAAATTTTGTTCCATTCTTCGTAAAGAAACATTAATTAAGTGAGAATTATCCCATCACAAATAAATTTTCCTCATAACAGATTGTCTTTCTTGTATATAAAATATGCTATAATTAAAATTTATCCAATACTCTTTGTATTCTGTTATGATTAGAACTTTTTAAGTTATCTCAATATGGACAACAACATCAGGATTATTCTTTCACAGTTTCCAGAGTGAGAATTTTTCATAGACTTATTACTTATGAATTATTAATTATGTGACAATTAAATTTATATTATTATATAATAAGCCTATTACTTCTGATGAGTATATTTCTTATGTTTCCTTTTCTTTCAGCATTTTGTTTTATAATTCTACAGTTGAAACTAATTCTGAGTGAATAAATGCTTCAATCCAAAATAGTTTATCAAATAATATATTTTCTACCAAATTTTTTAAGGCATAGGAAAGGTGAATTACGCTCATACCCCTTAAGTTATTAAAGAAAGAAAGTTTAGTGTTAACATTTTAAATATTTAATGACTACATATGGGAAAACATATACTAAAAATGACTTTTTAGTCTATGCACAAATACTTCTTCCTACAAGTTGAATATCTTATCAAATTCAGGGTATTAATTACAGCTATAACTTTTTGGTTGCTTTATTAATTTCACATTTTATTAGAAAATATAATAATTTTTTCATATTTTCCATGTTTTATTCATTTACTTATTTTGATTGACTTATACTAGAGGTCTTTTTGACAATTGCATTAAAAATGTTATTTTACAATGTAAGTTCAAACTTTAATTAATATTTAGATTCAAATTTCTGGGGTTAGCAACTCCAGATGCAAGTTTTAGTTCAGAAATTAACTATATGTCTTTGGCTATTAGATTTCCAAAAAGGTTACCAGTGTCATTTAGTAGATGAGAGAATGCCAAGAGGCATGCAGAAGAAGCGAGTTATATCTGTACCTCACAAGACATATGAAAAAGAACTCAAATGAGTCAGTGACTTAAACATATTGCTGTAAAAAATTAACTAAGATAACAAAACTCTTAGAAGACAACTTAAAAGTAATCCTTTGGATATTGCTCCACGCAGTGGAATTTTAGCAGTGGCACCAAAGGCATGAGCAACATTAGTCAAAATAAGGAAGTAGTTCTTTAAAAAGATTACACACTTTTGCACTTAAAAGGGACTTTACCAAGGAAGTGAAGAGAATACGTGAAAATGGGCAAAAAGATGTGAGGACGATATATCTGATTAAATTTTTACATTTAGAACATTTAAAGAACTCCTGTAACTCAATCTTAAAAAAATGGGAAATAATCTAATTTAAAAAATGATCAAGATGAAAATTTCATCATAGAAAATATATAAATGACCAATACACACATGATAAGGTTTGCACTGTCGTTTGACATTGAAGAAATGCAAATCAAAACTATAGTATCATGCCATTTCAGATCCACAAATATTGGTTTTATCAGAAAAATGGAAAATAACAGGTGTTTACAAGGAGGTTTTAGAAAATGAAGTGGTGGACCAATGGTGGTGGAAAATAGTTTGCTGCTTCTTAAAAAAGTAAAAATAATTCCTCAAAACAGCTGAACTTAGAAATTCCATATGATCCAGCTATTCCACTGCTAGGAATATACCCTGAGGATACTAGAACTGAGATACAAACGGACATTTGTACACCAATGTTCATAGTAGCATCATTCACAACTGCAAGAACTTGGAAAAAGCCCAAATGTCCCACAACAATTGAATGGATTGAGAAATTATGGTACATTCACATGGTGAAATACTAAATAGCACTCAGGAGCAGTGATTTGGAAAAATTACTACGTGACTTGAGAGAGATTGGAGAACATTATGCTGAGTGAACTAACCCAGTCTCATAACAAATACTGCATAAGACCTTGATTGTAAAAAATAGAAGGATAACTAGTAGAACGTGTGTGGGAGTCCAAGGGAGGAACAGCTGGCAGCAGAGGGGTGAGGGTGGGGGGAGGGGAGGAATCATAGTGTTGCACAATTTGGTGGGGTGGTGAGGTAAAGGAAATGGGAAAGATCTGCTGGAAACATGGAAACATGGGGTAATGGTAGACATAATTCAATAGGGATTAAGTTTATAAAAAGAATATGAAAATTATTGTGTGAAACAATGTGAATGAAGGAGTGTGAAACACAATATGTATGAATTTTGTATACAAACCAATATAAAAGAAAAAAATTAAAGTTAAAACATATTACCATATGATACAGAAATTCCATTCCCAGTCATTTACAGGGCACTCTCGTGACGTAGGAGTAAACAGTTTTGCTGACACCCAAAGGCAGGGTGTTCAAATCCACCAACTGCTCAGAAGGAGAAAGATGAGCAGTTTCCTCAGATGCAATTTTATGATCTCTGTCAGCTATTCCAACTCAAAGGCACATTCTGAGTTGATTCTGACTTAGTGTTACATAACAGCAACAGGTATGTATTTTAAAACATCCTCAAAACAGAAATGTAGAGACTCCAGTCGGTAACTGTAGACCCATGGTCATTACGGCATTATTTACAAGAGCCAAAAAGTTTATATAACCCAAGTTTCCACCAACAAGTGAATGACTAAACAAACTTGATTGAAATGTATAAGGAAAATGAAGCTGAAGTTAATTTTATGACAAACCTGACCCTTGAAAAAAAATATATCAGATGTTCTTATTGTTGTGTGCCAACAAGTCACTTGCAACTCATAGCCACCTCATGTACAATAGCCCTGAAACCTGCTCTATTTTGTGCCAACTTTACTGTCTCTGACATACCTATCCTCATTACCCCAGTCACTGAATCAATCCATCTCATCAATGGTCTTCGTCTCTTTTTTTTGTCCTTCCACCCTTCCAAACATGATGTCCTTCTCTGAGAACTGGTCTCCTTACAACATACCCAAAGTATGGGCAAACCAAGCCTCAGAAACCTTGCCTCCAAAGGGCAGCCTGGTTTTACCCTCTTCAGGTTGAACCTGGTTTTTTTCTCCTGGCAGTCCATGGTATATTCAACACTCTTCTCTAGCACCACAGCTCAAAGGCATCAATTCTCTTTCTGTCATCCATAGTCATTGGCCACCTCTCTGATATGAAGTGATAAATATTATAGTATTCCACTTAATAGGGAATATCATTCCAACTAATGCTTAGTTACATTAGTGTCTGAGAGGAGGAAAGATGGATAATCTCATTTAAAGTTTTTATGAACTTTTTAAATGATAGGACTGATGATTACATAGCATCATGAGTGTGCTAATGTCACTTAATTGTACCTTTAAACATAATAAACACAATGGTGATTATAGTAATGTCACTTCTTTCTCATGCATTTTCTAGCTCTGTAGATTCATGGTATTTTAAAGATACACAATTTGGGTCAAATATCTTTATTACTTATTTTCTCACTGTTACTTTTCCAGTCATTTAGATTTTTTTTTTAATTTTACCTTTATATGTCAAAATGCCAATTGCTTCCTAGGACATATTTGCATTGAATCATTTCTAGTGTTAGTTCTTATTGAGTGGGCTATTATGCAAAAGTAAGATTTATTGTAGTGCTATCATCAGACTTATTTTGCCTTCCAACTCTAAAATACTTGAAGAAATTACCACATGGGGAAACATCCGTCTAGTATCTAAAGGGAATTGGTTCTAGGACCTTTGTGTGTATCAGAATCCCAAGGTACTCAATTCCTATATAAAAAAAAAGTCATAATATTTGCATATGACTTACTCACATCCTCCCAGTTATATATAGTCCTTTATAAATAAACAAGTAAAAAAATTACTGAAAATATAAACAAAATCTCCATAGCTTTTTGGTGGAGTCCAACTCATGGGAATCAACCTGATTTCCATTGGTTTATGATGCTATAAATAATTATGAGAGGACTCTGACTCATCTTTTACTTGTGGTCTGGCTGGTGTATTTATATCACGAGAAGTACTTTTTAAAAAGTACAAATGCCTCTTGGGGATTGCCATATTTGAACTTTACCAACTTCTCAAAGGGGAACTGTCCCTGTCAATATCAATCACACACACAAAAATTCCCATGAAGTAAAGACATATCTTCTACACTTCTGCTCCTCTTTCTACTCATCCCAACAGTATTTGCAGTCTTGACTGGATCCTAAATCTGAATCAGTAGTTCACAGACCTCACAAAACTATATTGAGGGGGTCAAAAGGCTATATATATTCAGGTTAGTAGTAGAATATAGTCAGGACAGCTTCTGAAATGCACTTACAGTTGCCTCAGTCTTGAGCCTTGTGGCCTTAAGCCAGTGTTATAAAGTTCTTAGTACTGCCAATTGTGGTTCTTCCCTACCTTTAGTCCTCCAATAAACTTGTGCAAGGGCTTTTGGCTCTGGTTCAATGGCATAGCAGTCCCAAGGTCTGCTCAGGCTCACATGAAGTTTCTGGTTCTCTGCAGTGACAGCTGTGACTGCTGCTCCCGCAGGCCCAGGGCTGATTAGTGCAAAATCAAGGCCCCAAAGGATGTGTATTATTCTCTCTTGCTTATTCTTTGCTGCTGGTGAGGTTCTCTTCAATTCTGCTTCATGATCAGATTATTTTAATGGCAAGGCTAGCCAAACCCTTTGTTGATTGGCAAGACTAAGTCATTCTTCTGGATAGACTAGCAACCTATTCTCATATTTCTGCTTATCTATGGCAAAGATGTGGCTAGGAAGATTCAATGGCTAAGAAACCCATTTTGAACAATAAACCCTTAGCATCACAACCTTTAATACAAGATACATTATAATGATAAACAAATAGCCTCTTATTCTCTGAGTGATTTCTTTGACCATTTAATTTTTTTCTTCTCAAATATTTTCCATCAGAGTTGAGTCCACAGTGATGCCCACTTATACTTAGGGCTGATTCTACTTCAAATACTATTCAGAGACTTTTGGTCTTATTTTTATCTCTTATTGAAAAAATGATACATCTTATATTAATTATTTTAATCATTTAAATATTTGGGGATATTTGGAGTTATTTCTAGGTCATTGAAGAAATGAAAATATAGTCTTAAAATAAACTTGCTTTTGTTGAAGGTAAGTGTATATAAATGTTTTACTCTTTATGTAAGTGTGTATATTTACTTTCTCTGTTCTTGTACACAAATCTTATTGTACCTACCATATACCTTAGATATAGCAGCCATCTAAATATTTGACATTTTTTTGTGTATTTGAAGCATATTGTTTTGTCTTATTTATGAAATAATATTTATTATTATTTGCATTTAATGTGCTTGCAACCTTTCATGTTGAAATTTTATATTCTAATTAAAGATAAAAATAAACACATTTTTAGCATAGGTAATTTTTAATTCTAATCTCCCCACCTTAGATTATCGACATAATGGTCGAGATCTTCAGAGCTCAACATTATCAGTGCCAGAACAAGTAATGTCATCAAATCATTGTTCACCATCAGGTTCTCCCCATCGAGTAGATGCAATAGGAAGGACTAGATCATGGTCACCCAGTGTCCCTCCTCCACAAAGGTAAGATAGCATATACACATTTTATGCATGTAATGGTGCTCCAGACTTACTTACTGTGAATTGTCACTAATCATATATAAATATAATAAATTACTGGTGGAAAGTTATTTAAGGACAAAAACCCCCTAACCAGACCCATTTAGACACCAGAGTAATATGGAAACCAGCTTACTTTGTATTTTTCTCTATTTTATATGTTGTTTTATTTTAATAGTTTGAAATTGTTGAGAACGACCATCTTTTAATCATCTATTTATGTTGGACATATTGAGTTGTTATCGCTATGCACCATTGAGCCAATGACAGGTCCTGTCTACCCTGTACGTTACAGGTCTGAACATTGCTGTTTCTGCATTATCTTTAGGGTCTGTCATGCTGCAGCCCATTATGATAGTCACTGTCCATATGGTAGTCAGTCCATCTCATTGAGTGTCTTCCTCTCATTCCCTGACCCCACTGCTCTTCCCAGCATTGATGTCAGATGGATCTTGTGTAAATCCAGATATACCAGAAAGATAGTTCCTTGTATTTTATTATGTAAAATAATTTGACTGTGTGAATCATAATAAATTATAGCTATTATTAAGAATGAGAACCCTAAAATACTTAATTGTGCTCACATGAAACCTATACATAGAAAACTATCTGGTTAAAATCAGTTAATTGTTAATTGATTTACAGGTCATTTAAAATAGCTTAAGAACTACTGATGATTTGAGAAGTAGGTAAGAAAAACAACAGCCATCCGAATGGTTTTTAAAATTTGGGATAATTATCAGAAGAATAAAACATTTTATGGTGAGTTAAAAACTGGCTCAGAAAGTCTACAGTTCCAGGTCTTGAGCCTTTGGAGATTTATGATTAATTGGGTTAGTTTTGCAGAGATTCTTAATGGAGTAAAAATTTTGGAAATAATATATTGAAGCTAACAAAAAATATGTACATGAATCATGTTTATGTACTTAGAGTGTTTAAGACATTTAAACTTTCTGAGTGTTTAAGACATCTAAACTTTCTGAGTGTTAATGTTTAAAGTCCCATTTTTTCATGAGTAATTTAAACATGGGAGCCATAAGTTTGAGGTTACAAATTTTATATGTGGCTAAGAGACCTTTCAGTTTTCATGTATATATGTAATTTCTTTGATTTATAAGCATTATTGGACACTTAGAAAGAGTTAATTTATTTAAATTGATCATCAGATAATATTTGGTGTTAAGGAATCATTCTAGTCTATAAACATTGCCATAATTATGCTATATTCTGATTAATGATTGTTAAAATGTGATAAATGTAATCTGAAATTTAAAGTTTAAGGAAGACTTGAGTTCAGATTTTGACTTTTTAATAAATATTCATCCATTTTAAAAAATGTTCTCGTAAACTAAGGAGAAAAGTTTTGAACACTTTAATAGAAGATAGATTTAAATTTTCTATTATTTCCAGTGCATGTAATAGCTAAAACCAGGAATTGTGCTATAAAAAATTCATTCTGCCCTGAAAAATTAATTCTGCTATGGAAGTATGCAAATAAGGGTTAGTAGGCATCCCAAATCAAATGAGTCAATTATATAGACTTCTACTGGATCTTAAAAAAAACAGTTAATCATTATACCTTAAATAAGATCCACTAATATATTGCATAAAACCAGCAAACTTAAAAGCAAAGAACTATTAACTGTGTATGAACTATATAAGAGTGTAAATGAGAGCCATGAACAACAACAACATCAAAAAAATAGGAAACCAAACCTGTTGCCCTAGAGTCAGTTTGACTCATAGTGAGCCCACAGGGCAGAGTAGAATTGCCTTACAAGGTTTTCCAGGCTGTATCTCTGTTTGGAAGCAGACTGCTTCTTCTTCCTCCTTTAGTAGCTGGTGGGTGCAAACTAGTAACTTTTTGGTTAGCAACAGTATGCTTAACCGCAGTGCTACCAGGGTTCTATGAAGAAATAGGACTTTAAAGTATAGCAAGACCGATGAGAGCCAGAGCTCAATAGGAGCACAGCCCCACCCACCCACCCTTTTCTTCTTCTTTTTGTTTTTTTGAGTCAAGCAAAAAGTTCACTTTTGAGGTGGACACTCTCAGTATGTTCCCATCATTGTTTTAGTAGAAAACATTTGAGTTTTTCATCAAGCAGTGGACATTAGATAACTCGATTGCCATTAGAAATTTTAAAATTATGTCTTGTTTGTTATAGCAGCTTAACTCCCAATTTTATTCTGACCCTCCAGTTGAAATTTCTATCTATTTATCTAGTAGTGAGTTGTTGTTAGGTGCTGTCAAATATGACTCATAGCAATCCTATAAACAACAGATCTAAACCGTGTCCTGACCTGTGCCAGCTTCACAATTCCATTGCTGTAGTCACTTGTGTCAGTCCACCTAGAGGAGGGTCTTCCTCTCCTTTCCTGTCCCCCTTATGTTTCTAAGCATGATGTCCTTCTCCAAAGAATACCCTCTCCTAACAGCATGCCCAAAGTATATGAGACAAAGTTTACCATCCTTGTCTCCAAGGAGCATTCTGGCCGCACCCTTTCTAAGATAAATGACCTTTTGTCAGTTCATGGGATAGTCGACAGTCTTCTCCAATAGTATAGCTAAAATAATACAACAATCTTGACTTTACAGTGACATTATCCTTTTCAAAAAAACCCCTTTATTTGTAAAATCTCATTTTTAGTTTAATTTATGATATGACTCACTAAGATGTTTCATGAATTTTCCCATTTCAGGAATGTGGAACAGGGACACCGAGGGACACGTTCTTCTACTGGACATTATAATACAATTAGCCGGATGGATAGACATCGTGTCATGGATGACCATTATTCTCCAGACAGAGACAGGTAAATCTGATAAAACACTCTTCGAACCTATTGTTATTACTGCCTTCAAAAAGCGTTAACATAAAATATTTCATCTTGACTATTCCTTTATCTGAGTTTCTGAAACCACCTGTTTTCCTTTACAATGACAACATTCATTCTTATGACCATCACATCATTAAAAAAAGGCAATTTTTTTCCCTTTTGGTAAGAAAAAGTCCAAAATCATCTTGCTTCCAATTCCAGTCATTCATTAAGTAAAACCAATTAAGTTCACGCATTTGCATATCGTGTTATAATGATAAAACAAAATGTTAATTTTTCGTACCTATCCTAAATAGTTATTGTATGCCTATGCACCCTTTCATAATAAATGTAAAAGTCTTTTATATCTATTAGAGGATCAATGTGACTGTACATATAATACTACTACATGCATATCTACACATTTATCACAGTTATTAAGAACCGAGCATGGTTTCTATTTTGCCTAGACTTATGAGGAGATTTCTCCTTATGACTTGGAGTACATTCTTTGTTTTGTTTAGAAAAATTATCTGAATTTATTCTAATAAAGTGACAAACTTAGGAATATCATTCTATATCACAGTGATTTCATCCACTATTACTAATATTTCAAATAGGCAAATTGGTCAGCTCTTCTAATTCATGCTTGGCCATATGTAAGATGAATTCTCTTATGTTTCCCCAGCTATCAATTCAATTTGAAGTCAGAATTATTAGGGAAAAGAATAGAATTTACTATTTATTTAGAGACTATTACAATAAAAAGGAGGGAGCTTAGAAGTATCTGCATATGTATACTTGACCAATTGTAGATACACATTTAGAAGATTTTTAATCAACAACTTGAAGACATTGTGTTCAATATTTAGTTGTCCTGTCTAGTTCTACAGTTGTTTTCCAATGATTGGATTTTTTGTATATTTCTAAAAAAGAAATCTAAGATGTTAGTTGCCTATCACATCAAACAGACAATGACTTTTTTTGTGCTTAGTATCTATGAAAATATTAGGAGAAACTGTGGTATCCTAGTAGTAAAGAGCTGTGCTGCAATCTCAAAAGTACACAGTTCAAATCCACCAGCTACTCTAAAGGACAAAAATGAGCAGTCTCCTCTTGTATGATTAAAACTGCCTCTGAAAAACCACTGGAGGTCAGCTGTGGATCGGTTCTTCCTCTATGGTACACACACAAAAAATTAATATTGATTTAATCATTATTAATGAATTTGTTTCATTATTTTCTAGTGGCGTGCCTTTAGGATTAGTTATAGACATAGGACCTTAGAAATTGGTGTTTATCAGTTACAGTAATAGTGAAATTATGTATCTGTACAATTAGGAGTTAAAAGGTATCACATTAAGGTAGAGAAATGGTTATTTTAGTTGCCTACTGTATTCATAATTTGTTCTGTTAAGATTAATATGGGAGCTCTGGTGGCCTAATGGCAAGAAACTGCACTGTAATCCCTAAGGCATTAAATTTGAATCTACCAGCTTCTCCCTGGGAGAAGGATGGCAGTCTCCTCCTGTGAGATTAATTGCCACTGAAAACCCACTGGAGAGTCAGTGATGGGTCAGTTCCGACTCAACAGCACACGAGAACAAGATTAGTAATAGACCAGTTACAAAAAGTATGGAGTCAATAAGTGTTCCAGATGTTTGATTTGCTGTATAACACCATGATTTCTGACATCAGCTGTCTCTCCTTCATTCAGTTTCTTCACTCCTCAGTGTCCCTTCAGTTCAGAGGTTCACTGGTAGGTCTCCCAGAGACTCAGACCCATCATACAATTAATAATTGTCCGAAAGACTATTGGAGGAGTTAAAGGCTGATATTTAGTTGTGAGACTTCCTTAGCAATGGGACCATAACAACTTCAATTACATGATTATTCAAAGGTCCATGCCATTCATTATGGGGGGGGCTTGGAAGGTGATGGCAAGATAGATAAATATCTTCTTAGTAAAATGCTTCCTCAGTCATGTTTGCTTCTGAGGACTTGCAAATTTTTATAAAAAATGTTTGGCCCCTAAACTATTGCATTGCAAATATGCTGGATTATAGTGAAAAAAGACTATTTGGGAGTAGGTTATAATATCCTTCATAATAGGAATATAATCCTTGAAATGGATGGCCAGGTGAATGGCTATTTGCTTTTTCTTTTTTCGTTTAAAGTGAATTCTGAACTCAGGTCAAGATTTTAAAATGAAGTTGAATTTTCACTCTTGGAAAACCTTATTATCATAGTCACCAAGTATTCTGATTTTATACTTTCACACGTCAATCAGAAGTAATGCATTGACAGGAGTCTATTTTACTGAATGTACACTTTTTTTTTCTGTAGTATAGATATTGGGACCATATGGGCTAGAATTTGAATCTGAATTTTACCATCTTCTAGTTCTATACACTTGAAAAAATGAATGTCTCTTGACACTTGATTTCTTTATCTGCAGACCTAGACTATCAGTGCCAACCTCAGGCTTGTTTTGTGTACTGACAGTTACATAGTATGTACTCAGAAAAATGACCTTTTGCTTAACATTTTTAAAAGGATATTTTGGTTTACAAATAGTTCATACCCTAATGTGCTTATTATCAAATAAGGAGAGAAATCCATTAACTTGGGTAACTCTGAAGATCATGTAACACTTGAGTTGCACCTTGTTTGCAAAATGGGCATGTTTGTTCAGGCAAGAATAAGCGCAGAGGACAGAAACACAATACACCTGTATGTCAGGATAACCCAGTACAGAGATTTCAAGATTTGGGGACATTTTGAGAAGTTGTCTGTGAAGACAATAGTTTTACTTTAGTTCTCCTAGAGGAAAAATGATGGTATTTGACTATTTGATTTTAATTTATAGAATTTGGTTAAATTTGATCATAGAAGGAAGAAATAGACTATGTCTCTTTCTTACAGGTAATATTAAAAGAATTATGTATCAAAATTTAATTTCATCTTTGTTCTTTGAGTACCTCACTTTACTATTCATTAGTCAAAGTCTGGTTCTCCCTTGAAAAGAAAATTGCCCCTATTACAAGTAATTCCAATGTTGAGATATTAGCGAATATACTGAATTCTTATGTTAATTTTTCTTTTCCACCCACTTCATTCCAATTTTGTGCCCATTTTTCTGTGGCACATCCTATTAATGTTATAAGTAAAAGCAGGATTTTCTTTATCCTGATTATTTAGCCTTAATATAATAAATTATTCCAGTAATTTCTATTTACATAACTTACTATTAGAATATTTCTATAACTTGTTAGAGATACTCTGCAGTCTGCATTTTATGTCTATCCTAGAGGCTAATATACAGTGAGTGCCTTTAATTCATGGAAATAGTTTTAGCACATTGAGAAAACTGTATAATTAACACTGGAAGAAGATAAATTATAAAATATTTTCTGCTACGTATATAATGTATTCACTTATATATTATGAGAAAATGTTCCACTGTGGAAGGTTATGTGGAAATTCACATACTTACACTCTTTACTGTTTATCAGGCAGCCAGCCATCAAAAAGTATAAAAAATACTCATAGTTGTTTCTTTTTTTTTAGATAGTAATACAAAGAATTATTAATGATAATTTGTTGCAATCATAGCTATCTTGAGGAGGATTATTCTCCTTGCTCAAGTTTTAAAATATTTGAGGCAGATTGAATGTAATTTAGTTTATTTCTTTAACTCAGCATTACATAGAGGTTACAATGTCATTAATTTTGAAAGAAAGAGAATTAGGATTTAATGGAGAAGTGTATAATATTTTTAAGTTGTGCTAAGTAATTGTGCTAAATGAGAGAAGGAAGGATGAACAGTCTCCTCCCGTGTGGTTAACTGCCTCTGAAAACCTGCTGTAGAGTCAGTCACCTGTGGGTAGATTCCAACTCTATGGTACATAACAACAGCAAAGTGATTGTAGCAAAGGACCTTGGATGTATCTATTGACTTTGGTTAAATTTTGGAGGTCTGTAGCTTACTGAAATAATATATGCATTTTCTAGTCTTTAACAGACTATCAAGGGGATTTATGACCAAACAAATATAATAACCATAATAGAAATGTCGAGATTGACAAAGGAATTAAAATGAGGAAAGGGATTCTTAATAAAGATGATTCTTGCTTATTGTTTCCTTTGGCATTGTAGGGTCAAAATGACTTACAGACTATTCCATGAACAGTTAGAAATTAGATGAGGTTATGTTCTATGAATTTGTAAATTTTCACAAATTTGACATTTACACATATTCTATTACTGAAATGGTTCTCAGGGAAATAAATTTTTTTAAAGCAACAATTTCCAACTATTTGGCATTATTTTCATTCTTTGTGAAACAAAGTGTGCCAGTTTTATTTCTCAGTTTATTTACTTGCTTATACTACATAGGCTTATAATATGTAATTTTGGGAGCTTAGTTGTAAGTAATTTCACTGCCAACCCAAAGACACATAGTTCAAATCCACCAGCTACTCTCCAGGAGAAAGATAGGCAGTCTCGTTCATGCAATCTACATCCTCTGAAAACCACTGAGGGTCAGCTATGAGTGCGTTCTGACTTGACAACATAGAACAATAGCAATAATCTGTGATTTACATGTCTAAAAACCCCTAATTATGAGAACTATTGCTCTCTTTGGAGAAGAATCATCATGAAATTGGTGCACTTCTGATTGTTTTAGTTCAGTTTGAAAAATATTTATTGAATATATCAGCCATTGTTTACAAACTTTTCTTCTGCACAGCCTTTTTTCTGGTCTAGATATGTAGATATTTAGAAAGCAACTCTACAGAAGTTGCCCCACAGTGAAAGATGGGTAGTCACCTCTCGTACTGCATCTGAAAACCCCCTGGAGGGTCCACTGTAAGAAATGATCTTTAGGAATAACTACTAATACTGCCCTTTACCTCAGGGTAAGATGCTTTGCTTCAATCCCTAAATCATGTGGTTCAAATCCTCTGGGCTGCCACACAGGAGGAAGAACAATCTCCTCCGGTGCAATTAACCACCTCTGACCACCCACTAGTGGTTCAGCTGTGGGTCAGTTCCCACTCTAAGTACACAACAACAATATATATCAACTAGTTATAAAATAAAGGACAGAAGTATAATAGTATTATAACAGATTGGATGTAAAATGATTTCCTTGGCTCTGTGCAAAGATTCAAAGAGATATTAGATTTTGTAGGTTGAGTAGTATTTTGAAAGGCAAGAACATGGATGAGGATTCATTCCTTCAAGAGTGACTAGCTTGAACAATTTTATTGAAGTTCAGAAGGTACATGATGCATTTAATAAATATGTACATTTAAAAAAAATAGATATGTAGTTAAGCAAGCCTAAAACAAAAGCTGTGGATGGGAAGTGAATAGGGATGAAGATTGACTTTCAATTAGAATTTAATTTGCATGACATTTCAAGGAATTGGTACCTATATTTTTAAAACAGCGAGCTACTTGAAGGTTTTCAGCCAGGTACCTCCTATACAATCTTAGTATTATTTAGAAAAATGCTTCTACAAACAGGATGCAGACTGGATTAGGAAAGGGCAGGATGGAGATCTGAAGCTCCAGAGAGCGAGCAGACATTTGTTCCAGTCGGTCTGGTCAATCATTTGATGGCTCATTGTAGGGGAATGGAAGGAGAAAGGGAAAGAGGGGGACACCTGGGTTATTTAGAAATCAAAATCATCAAAGATGATTAATCGGCTGATTATAGAAAATAAGACAGATGGAGTTCAAGAAAATGCTAAGATTTCTAAGCAGGGTTTATTAGATAAACATTTAAGTCATTAGCTGAATTTTAAATACATGAAATTACACGCATGTATTAAAGACTTATATTTGAACTAGAAGGGACGTGCAAAATCCCATTGCTGTCAAATTAGCACCAACGTAGTGACTCTAAGATAGAACTTGCCTAGATGATGCCAAAGGCTGTAATATTTACAGAAACTGAGAACCTCATTTTTTCTCTTATGGAGAAGCTAGTTGGTTCGAACCACTGACCTAGATGTGCTGCTATGGCTCCTGAGGGGATCTTAGGGATATGTTGCACTCAAATTCTGAAGAATTTTGTAAGAAAGTGCTCTTATAGGTTTAAACGTCTCACTCTTTTATCAGAAGTCATTTTTATTTTGCTCAGTTCCTCTGTATTATGTCTACATGAAATTTGTTTGAGAAAACACGGTGATCTTCAGCTACCAAAGAAGTGTTTAGATGCACTGCCCTAGTATTCCCCTTTCACACATACAACACCACAGGTCCAAACAACCACTGCCTTGTGGAAGGCCTCAGCTTAGTGTGTGTTATTATGAAGTGTCTGTATGGTGTTCAAGCAGCTGTGTAGAGTACTCAGTAAACAGCTGGAAATAGCTGACCTACCGAGGAGAAAAATCAAGGCTAAAGGAAAGCGATCATTTGGCTATAAAACAAATACTCCTATTCAGGAAAAGAATGACTTAGAATATAAAGGAGGTTGAGGTTGACTCTTGGGAAGCTACTGCCTCTATAAATACAAATGAAAACTCAAACTCATTGCCATTAAGTCAGAACCAACTCATAGCTGACCCTCCAGCTGGTTTCTGAGGCTGTAAATTGCAGAAGAGATTGCCAATCTTTATTTTTCAAAAAGCTGATTATTGATTTGAACTGTCAAGAAACTTGACCTTTGGGTTAGCAGTGCAACTGCCATAGATACAGAAAGGAGAGCTAGTAAATGAAACATTAGCAGTCAGATACATAAAAGATTGGGCTCTATGTGTAATCAGAGTTTTGAATTAAACCCTCAAGCTTGAAAACTATTCCTGTTATGGAAAGGCACTCCTAGTGTCAGTCTGTGTGTAAGAATAAGGCAATATAAGAGAGTTATTATGAGAACTAAATGAACAGTGCAGCCAGAAATTCAAACAGAATCTTTGGCACAAAGCAGGTGTTAAATAATTTCTGTTTTAAAAGCTGTAGAAAAAGTATTTCAGAAACTAAGAGAGGAAACTCTTTAAGAAAGAGAGGTTAGAAGTCAACCTTTAATATCTTAGCTAAGTCTAGCATGATAAAGATAAGGACAAAACTAAAGGAGTCTGTGAAACTCGATAGCGTTCACTTGATAGTCAAGAGAATTCCAGACAGAGGTAGAAGTCAAATGAGTTCCCTCTCAGCAGGATTAAGAAGTGAGGCGGTGGTAGCAAGAATTGTACATGGATATTTTAGAGGGTTTTTTTTTATGAAAGTTGATCAAAGTTCCCCCTTCTTGAGGGGAAGGCAAGCAGGACAAAGTTGTCATTTTAAGGGTAAAGAAGGGGAATACAAGAGAATAATGAATGACACGAGGTGATATGGAGTAAAGCAAAGTTGCACTGGATGTAGGATTACAAACTGAGTTACTTCACCCTTTTTAATACATCAGAGTAGCTACTTGTTTTGTCCTATGCATACATGTTGCTGATAGCCATCGAGTCCTGTACAAATTCATAGCGACTATACAAAAAAAAGACCTAATTCCTTTCCATAACTATCATCATTTCTCAAAGTTCATAGAGTTTCCAGAATCATGTGGTTTAGGAAGTAGATGCCACTCCTGCTTCCAAACCCGTTTTACAACTAGGAGCTCCACCAAACACTGACCACATTGGGAAGCCATTCTGATATTTGATTCCCCAATGGTACAAGGTTCAGCATCACAGCAACCTAGGCTATTTCATATTGCACATTGACAAAAAAGTGATGTAAAAAATGGAAGAGTGTTCCTCCAGATTTAACAGCACCAGTTTCATTTAGCAGTGGTTAAATGTTGTCAAGTTAAATATGACTGAGAGTGAGTTTTGCACAAAGGACCTGAATTCTGTTCTATAACTAACATCATTTTTGTACAGAACTCTGTTCTATAACTACCATCATTCCTGTACATTTACAGAGATAGGTAACTTTTTAGAGTTTAGAGAATTTGTAGAGTTTCCAGAGACATCTAGTTTAGGAAGTGGACGCCACTCCTGCTTGCCAGCATAAACCAGTCTGGAAGCTCATCCAAACACTGTACATAACGGGTAATTGTTATGGTGTTTGACAAAATTATGGAACAGTGTGCAGCATAACAGCAACACCAAGTTGTTCAGTTCAGCAGATGGACAAAAGATTGCTGTGTCATTCAAGGAATAGTCACTCAAAAATTAATAAATTTGGCCCAGGACATACTTGTGAAAAAATAATGAATTAAGCAGTATATTAACAATCATGGTCCAGTAGTATGTAAAGTAAGGGCATGGCAAGAGGGATGATTCACATCCTAGGCTGGAGGCAGTGAGATGGCACGTTTTTTTCACATTTGATCTTGGAATATTGAATCCACACAAAGAAAAACCTGGGATAAGGGGTGAGGGAGCTATTATATTTACCTAGTGTTTAAAGTTGGAAGTGTGAAAATGAGTTTGAGGTTGGTTTTTATTTTGTTTCTGAAATTATTATTATTAATTATTTTAATTTTGGGTCCTTCACAGTTTTAATAAAATGGAAACTTTTCAATTTGCATAAATACAGTGTAATAAAAATATACATTAAGCACTATAAAAGAAGAAAATCAGCTATCAATGGGGAAGGTCTCTGCCCTGCATGACGGATCGTGTTAGTCATGAGGCATAAAATGCCACAGAGTTGATAGACTGTAATGTAATACAATGAAAAAAATAAGTGGCATCTAGTAGAATTAATAACATTTAAAAAGTAGTTATGAATTTTAAATAGTTTGCTCTTTATCAAATGGAATTTTGAAAGCTTATTGTATTAATTTTTATTGTTAATAATAAAAAGACTTATTTCATAACATTTCTAACTAGAAGTACTGGAATTTACCTCTTGTATTATTTCTTTCTTAAACTTCTTGGTTATTCTGCTGTTTTTCCTCCTCTCTCATTCTGTCATAATACCAGTAAAGATTCTCGATTCTATGACATTTTCTAGATGATGCTGAAAATGTTTGAAAAGATTTTGTTTTGCAGTATGATTTTTTAAAAAAATCTCAGTTGATTACACTTTTATATTGTGTAATTCTTACATTAGAACATGTTAGCGCTTAGCCTGATCATGTGATAATGAATACTGTGAGGAGGAGACAAGCGTTTCAGTAACAGTTTTTCTTTGCTTTGCTGACTACCTGCTTATCTATTTTGAATCTTGCTTTTTAAAGTTAACTCTACCTTTTTCATTTCTTTCCTGAATCTCATTTCTATTCTTGTTTCTGCCACGCTACAGTCATTTTCTTACTCTACCTCGCTCCAGAAACAGGCAGAGCATTGAGCACCATCAAAGGGATGGCAGGTATATTTTCCTTACAATTGAGTCTGTTCGTGGAGCTGCATGTGCCTGTCTACCGCTGTGGTGAAATAATCCATTGATATTTGTTTTATATATATGGATATATGTCAATGTATACATATATATAAATAAAGCATAGAAATATTATCCATATAAAATAGTAGGGAATAAATCTCCCATAAGCACTTCCATTGTAAAAAGAATGTCAAAAATTCAACTCTTCTTAGATGAGCTAGTGCCGTCCGTGGAGATTAGTTTACCCAAGTATTCATGAACTCTTGATTGTCTAGAAAGATGAATAGGAGCAGTCTTTTAAAATTAACTGTGGTTCATTTCCACCACCATCAGCGATTACATCCTTTGACAACTACACAACAGTGTATAACGTGTACTTCCGTGTAGTCTAAGTACCCCCTCGCCCAGCAGGGAAGTCAACCAGCGAAGTGCTCAGGTTGTAATTACTGCACTGCCATTACTGCGTCAAGAAGGACTGTAACTTACTTCTTGGCCATAATTGACCCTGAATTTTGGAGAGTCTTGGATTTGTGGAGAATTTATTATTTATTTCTATCTTACTCTTCCTCATCCCAAAATGAGAATTTCTGTTGAATCATAGATAGCACAACTCTAATACCCCGAGGAAATAGATTTTATATGAGAGGGAATCACTTACCTGACAATAAAGAAGGGGAAAGTGTCTGGAAAGAAAATAAAGATCTCTTAAAGTCCATAGAAAGCTCTGGTGGCCTAGTGGTGAGAAGCTGTGCTATAGTCCTGAAGGTTCACAGTTTGAATCCACCAGTTGCTCTACAGGAGAAGGCTGGGCCGTTGCCTCTCATGCAATTATTTGCCTCTGAAAAGCTGCTGGAGAGTCAGCTATGGGTTGGTTCTCTCTCACCAGCAAGCAACAAGATAGTCCATTATAATATCAAAGCCATATGTAGGTTTAAGGATTTTAACCAGTTAAGTGACAACATATTGTAGCTTTCAGGGGGCAGAGAACAAAAACGGCAGTGGTGACGTGGGGGTAGACTCAGGGTAGACTGGAAAAGCATGTGCCCTTCTCACTCACTCTGACTACTTTCAAAGTGCTCTGGAGTTTCTGCAACCTCCTTTATCGTTCATCAGTGTAGCTAATGGATGATTGGTAATGAAAGAGTTTAGGGGGAAAAATCTTTGAGAACTAATTATTTGAGTTCTCCAGATTGAATTAATGGATAAATATGGAAGCAGGTCTAAAAAATAACATCAACAATAAGCCTATAATATTCTATGTTCTGTGATGTCTTTCAGTAAATATGATTGATATACAGACCTTCCAGTTTAATTACTTCGCTGTTGGTTTTGCTATATCTTATTCTTCTGCATTTTATGAAACTCATTATTTATTTTACTTCAGACTTACATAATTATTTTGTGTTTTGTCTTTTATGCTTATTCTTGCTGTCTGTTTTATTCAGATGCTCTTTAATTTTTTTTTTTTTTGGATGATTAAGCCTTCAGTTTTTGAGTGTGTGAAAAAACATTTAAATAATTATGTCTTGATGACTGGCTTTTCTTAGGGTCATAAAGGCCTCTTTACTGATTAGAAGTTTATTATTTTATCTCCTCATGTCATTGTAAATGAAAACTATGTACCATATTAACCTTTTGTTTTATTTTGGATTTTGCCTTAAAAACTAAACCAGGGCCATTGCCATTGAATCTGACCTTGTTAGGACAGATTACAATTACCTGTAGGGTTTCTAAGGTTGTAAAGATTCTTCTGCAGAGCAGATTTACTGCCAACCTTTTGTTTAACAGCTGAGTGTTTTAACCACAGCTTTACCAGAGCTCACTTTCTTGGTATAAAACTAGAAATACTAAAATTCACCATTAAGTCATAATCAATTCATAGCTAATCCTCCAGCAGATTTTCTGAGACTGTAAATCACATGGAAAGAGATTGTTCATTTTTATTCTGCAGAACAGCTGGTGGATTTGAACCAGCAGCAAGACATAGTCTTTGGATTAGCAGTGCACCTGCCAACAGACTATGCCATTAGAACACTCTTGATATAAAGACTGCTTCCTTTGTTCATTGGCTCTGTTACCAATAAATAACTGGTTCACTTTGTTTATTCTTTCAGTTCACCAACGTAGATAGGATCAGTTCTTAATCAACTCTTAAACTGGTTAACAATTTCATATACTTACCCCAATTTTCAATCTCAGCCGTTTAGGCTAAATTTGAAGAAGGCATTTCAGAGTTATCTTTTATTCCAGTATTTGAGTTGTGGCTAGGAAACAAATGATTGTTAATATTTTATAGTAATATAAAATAAAAGTCCATTTCAGAAAAATTATTGAATATCTTACGGTAAGAATTGGTATTACATAATATTGTGTCTCTCATGTTTACTCTCTCCTAGTCAATTTGGGCAGGTTTTTATAAGAATAAAATTCTTTCATTATTTTAAAGCATAATACCTTTAATAATCATGGTTTGGGTATATATAGAAGAATGTTTTAAGTTACTATGTACTGATAAAATAATAGACAGCCATGGATTTATTACCACAAATGAGAGAACTACAGCATCTGATTACCCACTGTGCATCTGCTTGTATACTCATGCATCTTGTGCATAATGAATTCTAGCTTGAATTTTCAATTTAATAGTCTCTCCCTTTTCTTTTGCATAAATTATTTTTATCATTTATATTTTCATACTCTTGACTTTCCATTTCATTCAGTACCCTTGTACTCTATCCAATCTAAAACTGACAATTATTGAAGAAATGAAAGCTTATCTGAAGAGCTATTCGTTGTCTTGTATTTTTCCTCCATTAATTTCTGTGTGCATCTATTAATATATATATCCTGTTTCTTTGTATCTAATGCCACTAAGCAAATTCACCTTTTACCCTCCCATCTATGTTATTGTCATCCTTTAATCTTTTGGTTATTTATTTACTGCATATTTTAGCACCAACATTAATCTTTTTCATTCCATTTTCTACTGCCAGCTTCAGTAAAGTAAATATTAATATGAATAATCTATTTTATCACCTACTCGTTTCTTTCACTACCTCAAATCCTGTGAAACTAACCTCAACTTTTGCTCCATCCATTCCTTCTCATGATCATACTCTGAATCTTAGTGTCGTTTGAAATTGTTTCACTGCTGAGATCTCAGTATAGGCACCACACTTTTGGATTAGAAGCATTTCTTTCTAAATAATTCATTAAGTTCATTTTACTTCTCATTTATTCCATTGGAGAACTCCACTCTCTTAAATAATTCCCTATTGTTGTAGTCTCCCCTTTTCTATACCTTCTTGTGAGTTCAGAGGTTGAACTCATTCTTAGAAATATCCTTACTTCATTGCTCAGTTGCTCTTTTAACTATTGATCAGAATTCCAAATCAATTTCTCTTTCATTTAAAAAATGTTTAACTCATTCAATCAAATTATTCATAATTTATGTTTCTGAATTAAAATAATTAGAAACCAGAGAAACGTGGCCTCTTCATTGAAGGTTGTGGGGCTAAAAAGAAAAATAATATCTTCAACTTTTAAGTGTCTAGCTTCCCAATTCAATGTCCGAGGAATCATATGTAGTCATGGTCTGGATATTTGCTCTTTAGGATTTTATATATGTGTTAATATCTGAAAGTGGGCCATTGTCTGGCTTTATGTTCTCTTTAAACTTTATTAATCGAATGAAAGTAGTAAATTCAACACGGCATTCTTATTCTGAGTAGTCCATCAAAAGCATTTAGGTCTATACTTACTAGTTTTAAGAAGATTGTTAGATAAAAAATGACTGCAATCTCTGTGGAAATGAATAATGGAGACTTTAAAATGTTTACTAAACATTTTAAATAAAACTTCAGAAAATAAATATTAGTTCACATTAGGAATCAAAACCAGATTAAATATAAGAAAAATTATTATTGATGATAACAGCACAAATGAGGTTAGAACCATACATTTTCAGTGGTGTTAATTTGTGTGTCTGTGTATGTATGTGTTTCTTAACTTATACTCAACAGTCTACATGTGGTAGCAGAGACATTAAACTGAACAGCTAGTATTAGAATGAGAAATGTTTGATTACAAGGAAATTTGAAGGTCATAGTATTAGATGGTTCACATCATCATTCTTGGAGTCTAAGGTGGTAAGATAAAAAAGGCCAAAATAGAAAAGAATTTCATTGGATTTTTATTTTGAAAGTTCATTGTTTTTCTCCAGATGAGGAGAGTAGATGCAGAAAAAGGTTAGCATCACTGAAGTTATTTAAATTTAGGTGTTGAGAGTCTTGAGCAGTTTTATTTATGTACATTTAAATCTCCTCTCATTACTATAGGAATTAGAACAAAGAATATGGCAGATAAGCAATTCTCATAGTTACCATTAACTGTGGAAGAGTGATTGGACATTATACAGTTATTAGCAACCTGCATAAATAAAATATGTTGCAACTTAGCAGTGCCTCATTGTAATAAGCACTTTGCACATTATGGTGGATGAATAAGAGGTGAAAAGATCTGTAAGAAGCAAATCTCACTTCCTAGACCCATAGTTCATGAGGTATTGGGTGGAAGGAGAAGTCTCTGCCAATGAGGATGATGCTGGAAGCTTCAAGGTTGAGCTGATTATTGTTATATAAGGTAGGAATATGGTGGGCTCTGGTGGCATAGTCCGTATAGAGTTCCACAACTAACACAAAGGCCACATTTCTTGAAAGATTGGAATCCAGCAGCAACTCTGAAGAGAAAAGGAGAAATTACTCCTCCTAAGCAATTTTCATTCTTGAAAACTTAATTGAAGACAGTTATGAGTTGATTTCTACAGCAATAGAGAAAGAGCGAGATTTCTCAATATGGTTGATGATATAAGGAAATTGTGCAAAATGAGATAAAGATTCTTAAAACTGCTAAACACAACCATTCCTTTTGGGTGCAATCAAGTTGACTCTGATTCACATGAATAACACAATGACATTTTGGAGTGAGTT